TGGATTTAGGCCGTCTTCTGACTTAGCATGTTGCAGTACGTAATCTGAAGTGCGTTGCGAGTTATTGTGAAGACTGGGTTCGGGCCTACTTATGTAGCTGAGTCTATCGCTTGTGAAGTTTGCTGCTTCCTCTAAAGCCTCTGCTTCTGCTACAGCGCTGCAGCTTCTTTTTCCACAGTTAGCTTTTCTAGAGCTGCTTCCGTGCATGCTTTCTCTATTTTTAATTGTCTTTCTTGTTTGGCAAATGTCGCGTGGGTTTTGGCGGCCTCGGCCTTCGCGCGGGCAATGGCGACGGTGGAGCTGCTCAAAGATCTCCCTGAGCCTCTGGAGTTAACTGAGATGCGACACCTTGTCTCGAACTGTCCGGATTCCCTTGCTGACATGATGATGCTGTGAACGGGTTAGCACACTTGCAACCGCTGCGGGTGGCGATGCTGCGTAGTTCCTCCTATCCAGCTTGTGAGAAGCCACCGTTTCGCTGCAGTCAGGACTTCAGGAGTCGCAGTCCTCATATCCAGCTTGTAAGAAGCCGTCGTTTCACTGCAGTCAGGACTTCAGGAGTCGCAGTCCTCGTATCCAGCTTGTAAGAAGCCGTCGTTTCACTGTTCTGTCCTCCTTATGTGTGAAGGTACATAGCTTGACAGACAGCTAAACCTTTCTCGGCAATGAGTTGACAAAGAAGCAACGTCCAACTTTGTCTTTATTGCAAAGATATAAGAGGTGAAACTGAGGAACAGAAATAAGGCGCTTAGTAACACTGTCTGCCATGTGACAAAGCATATTATACATTACAGTAAGGCAATGCACATATAAACACATGTAAAACATGTAGGTTACATAAAACACAGATGCATAAGATATAGACATGTGTGTAGACGTACCGACGATGCTATTGTGAGCTGAATGTGAGGGTTGGATCCTACCAGCAGCGTGGTTACCACAGGAATGGAGTCTGTGATGAGGAAATGGCTGCTATGAGCAGGGCTGATGATGTAATCAGAGTTCATAGGCTACAAGCTATGGAAGCTGAAATGGGTCAAACTTCTACTGTGAAAAGATGCAGTGTATACAAACAGCCACTAGATGGAGCAGTTACACAATGAACAGAGAATTACAAACTGATAAGGCATACTAATAATGCCTAATTAACAAAGAACAAATTGCTGAAGGCATGACAGTAGTACTATGGTGGTGAATCACACAGCCATTCACACTCGAGCGTGTTCTGACATGATCCAATGTGCACTCGCCTGGGTCGCAGACCACGTGACTCAGTCTTTACAGAATAGTAGAAGAAAATAACACGTGTGTGCATTGTGCTGTTGCCAGAAAATGAGTGACAGGAATCTGGAGCAGCAGATTAACATCAAGTTCTGCGAGAAAATTGGCAAAAAAGTGCGAGTGAGGCTATAACTCTGTTACAACAGGCTATAGTGAACATTCCATGAAGAAATCAAGTGTTTTTGAATCTAATAGGTGGTTTAACCCTATCACTTCTAGAGCCGTTTTTTGCATTTTTGCATGTATGTTTTACAAAATCATATTTAGGCCTGAAGATTGCACAAAACCGCCAAACATTATATAATTTCTGAAAGAAGACTCCGTAGAGAATAAATCAGTAGTAGTTCCATTTTTTTGCGTCACATGATATTACTGCAAGGGTCTAGGAAATGCAAAATTTTTTAGTAAAAATCACATTCAAGTAAATTTTAGGGCAAACAAACGCAATAAATTACCTAAATGTTTGGTAAAATATAAAAGATGAAGTTTTGCCAAGTAAATAGATACCCAACATGCCAAGCCTTAAATTTTGTGTGCGCATATGAAATTGCCTCAATACTTTAGTACCCTATAATTTCTATAGACGATGCTTCAAAAGCCTCTATAGGTGATCAGTTTAGTGTTACGGAGGAGGTCTTGTGCTAAAATTATTGCTCTCACTCTGGAGTGCGTGGCGATATGTAACATGTGTATTGCAATTGACGTTTTCATGCGTAAGTGCACCGACATGTGCGTTTACAGCTGTACACGCATTGGGGGGGGTGGGGGGGGGGTTTATGTGCTTAATTTTTTTTTTTTACTCACCTTTTTTTCATCACAAAGTCCCCTATGTGATGATCTTTTGGTAACAGGTTCTATGTACTGAGACATGCAGGGTCTAAAAAAAAAATGACAGAGGTGCACCGGAACCCCAGCGTTTTTTGAGCTTAAAAAAATGCTAGTGTGCATGAAGCCTTACAGTCCATTCTGGGAATTAGATTATCACATTTCAATTGTCAAATTGAAAATGTGACAGTGGAGAAGCCAAGAGAGGTGGGATGAGGAGATCAGGACTGTTGGAGAGGGACAGGAGAAGAGGAAATAGGGATCAGTGATGACAGGAGAGGATGGAAAACAACACAGCAGAAATCATCAAGCATGTGGCAGCATATAAGAGCATATAATGGTGGTGGAGTGAGTAGGAGCCTTAGAATGACTCAGACTTAAAAGCACAGCTGTGCCTCTCTAGAGTTCATTCCAATTCTCTTATCCTACTTCCAGATCTTCCCTTTCTCAGGTCTAGAGCCACAAACGTCTGTCTTCTGCTTCCGAACACTCTCTCCTCATATACAGTAGCTCAGGGTGATGGAGGGCACAGAGATAAGTCAAAGCCAACAGGACTGGTTTTACCATTACCATAATGTCAGAGACATGTTATATTTAGCAGACACTGATATAGGCTACTACAGTTTGCAGGGCACAAACTCTGCCCCATCAACTATCTCTTAGTTCCTGCAAAAAACCCTCATAAATGTGATTTAGTTTGCTCTAATAGGCAAAAAAAGACTATTCTTACTGATCCCCTAAAGCAATAAAAGAGATCTGCAAACCAAACTCCCATATTCTGTCTTTCTTGTAAATATTAGTACCCATTTATATTTTGTGATTTAAGAAACCTATCCAGCTGCAAGAGATTGTTCCTATGAAGGCTGGTCTGCATTTTCACTGGTCTTACTGTACCTTTTCTGAATACAGAAGTTAAACGTCTCGTTCTCTAGTTGTAAAAAGTGTATTTGCGTCTTTTGCGGCAACCTTAAACAAAATCATTCTCTGTTGAATTTACTATACACTAATGAGCCGTAACATTCTGACCACCTACCATAACATTCTGACCACCCACCTAATATTAACAAGATCCCCTTTTTGCTTTCAAAACAGCCCTGACCCTTCGAGGCGTGGACTGCACTAGACAAAGCATTACACTGTCTCCACCAGCTTGCCTTCTTCCCATTGTGCATCCTGGTGCCATCTCTGCCCCAGGTAAGCAACGCACACTCATGATTAAAAGCCATCCAAACGATGTAAAAGAAAATATGAGGCCACCTTCTCCCATTGCTCCATGGTCCAGTTCCGATGCTCACATGCCCATTGTAGGTGTTTTTGGCTGTGGACACGGATCAGCATGGGCATCCTGACCAGTATGCAGCTACATAGTCCCACAAGCAACAAACTGCAGAGCACTGTGTGTTCTGCACCCTTCTAATGGAACCAGCAATTTGAGCTACAGTAGGTTTCATATTTAGTCAGACTACATTGGCCAGCCTTTGCTCCCCATGTGCATCAATAAGCTTGCCGCCCATGACCCTGTCGCTAGTTCACTAGTTTTCCTTCCTTGGACCACTTGTGCTAGATCCTGACCACTGCAGACTGGGAACGTTTCACAAGATCTGCAGTTTAGGAGTTGCTCTGATCCAGTCATCTAACCATTACAATTTGGCCCTTGCCAAAGTCACTCATATCCTTATGTTTGCCCATTTTCTCTGCTTTCAACACATCAACTTCAGGGACAACACGTTCCCTTGCTGCCTAATATACCCCACCGACCTTCAGATGCCATTGTCACAAGATAATCAATGTTATTTACTTTACCTGTCATTGGTCATAATGTTATGGGAGATTGGTGTATATTTTTACAAGGTGATCAGTGTGCATTGACACAAATAGATGAAGAAACTCCAAATGTCAAAATGCTTAGATACAAAGGAAGCTTCACAATCCTATTCAAATGTAAGCAAACAATCAGCATAGCACCATAATAATAAACTAACATAAACAATTAAAAATGAGAACCCTGCCCAAAAGAGTTAATGGATGGGATGGAAAAAAAAAAGTTAAAGGCAAGTTTTGAAACTGTCTGTGCTGTTTTTTATAACTACCACAAGATGGCAGCAGCAGCAGCAATTTAAAAAAAGATAATTCCATTTCAAAATTCCATACCACTATAAGAAAGATTCGTCTGTAGGATTTGTCCAGCAATCAAGAAAACCACAAAATTATTACACACGTTTAATGTTCTTCACTAACTGTTCTAAATTGTGGGCTACTGGTATTATAAATAACTTATTTTAAAGGGTTTGAACGTTTATCAAATTAAAAATCAGGATAATTATTAAAAATGAGGACCTGCTGAAATCACTAAAAATGTACTTAGCTTTCCTTAGCATTGGAGCTAATAGTCAGAACTGAAATGTCTGTACCTGTACTACAACAACAGCCTACTCACAGCAAAGTACTGACATTAGGAGACCAGAGCTTTATCCAGGACACACCATTACAGCAGTGACATGCTTACGAGTGGTTAACTGGTCATGCATAACAAAAAAGATTCCAACTTGTCTGATTATCGACAGTCCTAAGTAAAAAAGTAATTTTTACAAAAGTGGTTGTACAGTTTTTCCCAAGTTCATAGCAGCAATAGTTACATGTAAAATAAAAATGATAATGATGCACTGCTACTTTAAATTAATAATTTAACCATCAATAAAAAAATATTCAAATAAAATTGTGGCTATGTGTTATTGCAAACATTTACATGCATATGACACCATACATATAATCCATACTTTATAAAATAGTGTCATGCAATACTGATGTGTTATACACCATGTTATAATATACACTATATTGCCAAAAGTATTGGGACACCCCTCCAAGTCATTGGATTCAGGTGTTGCAATCACCTCCTTGGCCACAGGTGTATAAATTCAAGCACCTAGGCATGCAGACTGCTTCTAAAAACATTTGTGAAAGAATGGGTCACACTCAGGAGCTCAGTGAATTCAAGTGTGGTCCCGTGATAGGTTGCCACCTGTGCAAAAAGTCCATCCGTAACATTTCCCGGCTATTAAATATTCCACGGTCAACTGTTAGTGGTATTACAACAGTGGAAGCAACTGGGAACAACAGCAACTCAGCCACTAAATGGTAGGCCACATGAAATGACAGAGCGCACACAGTGCACAAACGTCACCAACTATCTGCAGAGTCAATAGCTAAGGACCTCCAAATTTCATGTGGCCTTCAGATTAGCACAACAACAGTGCATAGAGAGCCTCATGGAATGGGTGTCCATGGCCGAGCAGTTACATCCAAGCCTTACATCACCAAGTGCAATGCAAAGCATCAAATGCAGTGGTGTAAAGCACGACGCCACTGGACTCTAGAGCAGTGGAGACGTGTTCTTTGGAGTGACCAATCACGCTTCTCTGTCTGGCAATCTGATGGATGTGTCTGGGTTTGGCAGTTGCCAGGAGAACGGTACTTGCCTGACTGCATTGTGCCAAGTGTAAAGTTTGGTGGGGGGGAATATGGTGTGGGGTTGATTTTCAAGGGTTGGGCTTGGCCCTTTAGTTCCAGTGAAGGGAACTCTTAAGGCATCAGCATACCAAGACATTTTGCACAATTTCATGCTCCCAACTTTATGCGAACAGTTTAGGGATGGCCACTTCCTGTTCCAACATGACTGCTCATCAGTGCACAAAGCAAGGTCCATAAAGACATGGATGAGCAAGTTTGAGGTGGAGGAACTTGACTGGCCTGCACAGAGTCCTGACCTCAACCCGATAGAACACCTTTGGGATGAATTAGAGTGGAGACTGTGAGCCAGGCCTTCTTGTTCGATATCAGTGCCTGATTTCACAAATGCACTTCTGGAAGAATGGTCAAATCTTCCCATAGACAAACACCTAAACCTTGTGGACAGCCTTCCCAGAAGAGTTGAAGCTGTTATAGCTGCAAAGGGTGGGCCAACTCAATATTGAACCCTACGGACTAAGACTGGGATGCCATTACAATTCATCTTAGATTGCAAGCTCCAAGGAGCAGGGCCCTCCTAACCCTCTTGTATTGGACTGTATTGTTCTGTATTGTCTCCCATTATATTGTAAAGCGCTGAGCAAACTGTTGGCGCTATATAAATCCTGTATAATAAAAATATTAATGTGCGTGTAAAGGCAGGCGTCCCAATACTTTTGGCAATATACTGTAGTGTATGTGAAATCCTCATAATAAAGTGCATGTGTATAATAGATCAGTTCCCATATAACTTCTTATAAAGTGCATATAATAACCACAGGGCATTACATAAACAATGTGTTCATCTTGCAACATATAACTCCCACATGGTAATTAAAGTCCTTGAAATATGTATAAATTCCTCTTTACAAGGTCACTCTGTTCTTATATACATTCATGCATCTTCCTGCTGTATTAGAAATCACTCTTATGTGTTTCTCCTCCACCAGCAGACATATATACTCTCACCTCACGGCTGTGTACCTTGGACACGGCTGATGACAGATCTGTGTACCGTCCCGTTGTCAGTACCATGTGACCGCTGTAACCAATCACAGCAGGTCACATGACAATTGTAAACCATGGATGGCTTTCTTTCATGCCATCCAATGTATACAATTGTGTCACTAGCTGTCATTGCAAGTGTACAATCCAAAACACACATTCCTGTGTTAAAAATGGCTGTGTGTATAAGTGGGTGCAAGGGAGAATGTCATCAGCACACCGAGGATCACCAATATGGGTCCAAAAGTTTTATTGTGATTAGTCACAGTGATCACATGTACAGATGTGGCCAATCACAGCCCATCTGTGTCATGTGATTAGCTGTGGTCAATCACAGCTAATCACAACAACAAAAAAACTGAATTAATCGATTTCCTTCAGATAAATGCTTGCTTATAGCAAATAAATTCTTTGCTGTAAGCAGTCATGATGTGTAAAAAAAAAATAAAAATCACTTCCTCAGAGTAGTACAATGTTACTATGGTCACATTATACTGCTCTGGTCACAGTCTGTTATGAAAAAATTTGTAAAAAAAAACCCAAAATTTAATAAAAAATAATATTTTTTTTTTCATGCTGTCACCAGTTAGTGTCCCTAATCACCACATACCAGTTATATAAAGATGCTGTACTGCACTGGTGTCAGTATATAAAAAACATGTGATTTTTTTTTAATTTCTTAATTTTCCAAACAAATGACAAAAAAATACAACTTCTTCAAAAAACTCACCATACCTCTTACTATATACCTCAGACTGTCTACTTTGCAAAAAGGGGTAATTTGGGGGATATCTGCACTGTTCTGACATTTTTGGGCCTCAAGAAATTAGATTGGCCGTCAGTATTTCAGGATTGATAGATTTTCAGATATATCCCATAGTTTGTGAACTCTATAACGTTCCTACAGACTAAATAATAAATACTGATTTGGGTTATTTTCCCCAAAGAAAAGTAGCAGAATACATCTTGGCTCAAATTTGTGAAAAACAATTATTTATTTACAAAACTTTATAACAGCCGTAGAAAAACATGTTTTTTTTTTTCAAACTTTTCTGTCTTCGGTCTTAATTTAGCAAGAGATAAAAAACCCAGTGGTGATTAAATACCAACAAAAGAAAGCTCTGGTTGTGTGAACAAAATGATAAATATTTAGTTTGGGTACAACGTTCCATGACTGCGCAATTGTCATTCAAAGTGCAAGAGCGCTGAAAGCTGAAAATTAGCCTGGGTAGGAAGGGTAAAGGTACCTGGAAGTTAAGCACAACTTTGAACTTCTAAACATTGTAAAGTTGCTAGAAGTGTATATGTTTTTACTTATACAGAAATAATCAAAATTCATCAAACATATTAAACCTGTTAATTACAATATATTTCTTGACTCAGTTTCTGTCAAAATGGGCTAATGTCTCACAGAATGGGCACAAAAGACAATTGAAGAAACTGAAAAATTCTTCCTGCGCCAATAAAAAACTACTACAGGATCTATCCTGCTGCTGTGCAATGTGATAAACACAAAATGTGACGAATATAAATAAACAGCGCAAACATAGACCTCTAAATCAAATCAATATATAAAGTGCATGATATGTAATAAAAATTATATTAGTAGTGAAAATCAATCATAATAATAAACAAAAGTTCGTGAATCACAAAAAGTTTGTGCAAAAAAGATCAAAAAATTCTTCAGATGCAAAGAAAAACTTCCACCTTCCACCCGTGCAAACCAACATCAAATACACTCACCAGATTTAGGTGAATGAAACGCCTTTTAGGAATTTTTATGGGATCCTAAACCCTCATTCGTATCCACTCTATAGGAATCCTCACCATCAGTATAGGCTCCACCATGCAACCGGGGAGAAAAAATCTCAGATAGTGTAATATTGCAAATTACCGTTTTTAAATGAAAACAAGGATTAAGGCCACTCACATTTAAATCACTTTAAAAAGGCATATTTATTAGAACAAACTTCTTCCAGATGGACAATAAATGTCAGACAACCTCCTCAGGAATCTCACATCCCAGCTCCAGGACACAGCAGAAGCTCCACAGAGAACAAACATGCACAGATCCCAAAAGATGGCCGCTGGAACGTACCGCTCAGCGTGCGTTCCACTCACCAGAATTGACGTCAGACGTACGGGGTAAAGACCAGAAATGCGTCAACGCGTTTCGCCCCTCCCATCGGGCGTTCTTGAAGAAACTGACAAACTTCTTGGGCGCTGGTAACCAAAAATGAGGTCTTGTAGCTTGTGAAGGCTATAACCACAGCTGCTGGAAAACGTAGGTGGTATAGCCCAAATATGTGAATGTGGTCAATAAAACTTTTCCTTTGTTTACATTGTACATATAACTATGAACAATGGTTTTAATTCCTTTCAAGTGGATAATAACATCCTTCTTTTTTACTATGGATAGCATTGTCATCATCCTTGCTAATTTTTAATACTTTACTGGTCACTATTAACTTGGCTCTATACCAATAGCTCTCAGTATCAGCTACTGTACAAAAGACAATTTCTAATTCACAACTGGCCTACTAGTAGCTCCTAATTGATATATCCATTTGGATTCCACTTACAGAATGTTTTTCAAAGTCTCCTACACGTGGGTGCAGGTGGACTCTACTTAATCATGTAAATCAGGGCTTAAAATTTCGAGTCTAGACCTACTAGCCAGGCACAAACCTTACTTTCCACTAGTTGCCCCACTCAACCTTGCCCAGGTCCGCCTCCAACCCCACCCCCGGCCCGTCCCCCAACCCTGCCCCCAGCCCTGCCCCCAACCACACCCCCCTTAAAGCTTATGAAATTACATTTTTCTTTAGAATAAAGAGTCCAAAATATAAAAAACTGCAATTATAACATAGCTTTATTATGTCAATTTAAACATAACAGCAATAGCTTAATAGCAATAGGGTGCAATCAAAATATCAAGTTTTACAGCTTTAAACCTGTAGTGAACATTTTGGATTTTTTTTGCTTATCTCCTACATCTTTAAAAAGAGACTTTAAAGTCTCTTATAAAAGATGTAAGTTTAGTTTACAGAATTATATATAATATATAATATTATGTTTCTTTTATATCCTTGTATATAATTATATATTAGGTATGATATTATGTCTCTTATATATAATTAGATAAAAATATATAATATTATGTTTCTTTTATATCCTTCTATATATAATTAGATATTAGGTATATTATTATGTCTCTTTTTATATATATTTATATATAAAAGAGACATAATAATATGTCTCGTGTCACCCGCAGCGGTGGAGAGCGGGTGTCTCCTCTCAGCGGAGGAGAGCGGACCTCTCCTGCATCTGTCCCCTTAGTGGCGCTGCCAGTGTAATGGCGGTGCCGAAGAAGAAGCCGGAAGTCGGAAACCAGAAGTTGGGAACCGGAACTCAGCTTCACAATGAGGCTTGGAGCGCAGGTGGAGCTGCTCCATCTGTGCTCGCAACACAAGGATTTCCCCTCGCATCTGGCGAGCGGATTTTTCAAGCTCTGATGTAAATGATAAATTATCCATTTTCTATTTGTGTCTCCTGGCAAAATGCCTACCCATAGGGGTACCCAAAATTCTATTTTGGTTTGCTAATATGTAAATGTATATGCATCACCATAGATATCTTTTGTTTTTCCTACATTGTACATAGAAGCTTCCACTATTACATTTCATGAGGTAAATCACCCCTAAAGTAAAGATCAACAATGAATGAAGCAGAAGCAGGGAGACCCTTGTACTGCAGGCCCTCAGGTACAACTTCCACTCCACCAAAGAGAACAGTGAGCAGTACATGAGGGACATCACCAAATCTCACTACAAATTTCCTGAGATACTACAGTCAAAATTAGTGGTGCCTCTTACAAGACAAAAGGTCAGTTTTCCAAAGCACTGATTAAGCACAATTAACTTTTCTAGATGTTCCCTATAAAACAACATTTTCACATTTTCATGTTCCATTTAAATGTAATTCATGTTTT